GTGGGAACCCGTCAGGGTACTCATGTTCCCTAGATGAGTCCTTGAATTCAGTTCTTGCTGGTCTCGCGGGTGCTGCCCACAGAGCAACGTGGGAAAAACCGATTTTCGATCGAGTGAGGTTGCCGCCGTTCGCCCAGCGGGCTTCGCATTTTGCACTCGTCTAAAGGACAAGCGCATATTATATTTAGCTGCGCCCACGTTTAATACAATGTGTGGAGGAGGAGATGGAGGAGGAGGAGGAGGAGGAGGAGGAGAGACTGAGGGGCAGTGGGGGGAATGAGGTACCAGGAGGACAGGAAGGAGAGGGCGGCGGGTCACGCTCGATCAAGCTGGGGCACTGGCCACGCCCGCCAAGCTCCAGGACCCGCGCGCGCGCGGCAGGCAGCGGGCGGGAAGCGGGCGGGAAGCAGGCAGACAGCGGGCATGAAGCGGGCAGGAGGCAGGCTGAACGCTTGCTACACCTGAAAGCTTGCTTCAGGCCAGTTTCCAGTTTGCCTCTCGCCCACTCAGGTTGCCAATCATTTCAGCGTTGCTCGAGTGTCAAGGTGGCTGGCCAGACGCCGCAGTCTCTCGCAGTCGCATGGGGAAGCGCGCGAGCGATGGGCGTCGCTGCCCCGTGTACCATGAGCGACAGGGCTTCGCAGCCGAGGATCTTTTTTCGTCTCAGGTCAGTCCCCATGCTAACAACATAAGCAACGGAAGGCTGACATGAAAGGATTCGGATCGGCAGGGGGGGGCAGGAGAAGGAACGGAGCGTTGAGACGAGCTGCGCGAGATTAGTGACAAGGCCGATCTGAAGGTTAGGAGGCTCAGGATAAGGAGTATGAGGACGTAACCTCGAAGAGGAGGAGGAGGAGGGCGAGGGGGGGGGGGGAGGAGTAGGAGGGCGCAACGTCGAAGAGGAGGAGGGTCCAGGAATAACTGAAGACAATGAGGCAGGGGGGAGGTCGGGCCTTCCCCTGCGCTCGCGTTTCGGCGGCGAGTCTGTTTCAATCAGCGCAGATGCTTTGACGAGTGCCCCGTGGCAGTGCAGTGCAAACCACCTCGCCCCATGCGAATTGAGTTGACTCTGGCAGCTGCTGGGTGATGCTGTCAGCCGCCATCTCACCGTGATCCCTGGAGTGCTGCCGAAGTCCCGACGCGCGCCCCCCCAGCGTGTGGTACTCCTCCTTGTCCTCCTCCTCCTCCTCCTCCTCCTCCTCTTCTTCTTCCTCCTCCTACTCCTCCTCCTCCTCCTCCTCCTCCTCCTGAGCCCCGCCCCATGTTTTTCTCGGTCTGGCAAGTTTAGAGCGCGTGGCGCACGCCATCGGTTGTTTTGTCTGTCTGGCAAGTTTAGAACGCCATGATGTGCTGCCCGGCTTCTCATGGAGCTCGCGCTCGCGTGCGCAGGGGTTCATGCCCAGTCGCGCCCCTCGGATTCTCGCCAACCATATATGTGTTTCTTTATATCGCTCTCTCTCTCTCTCTCGCGCTCTCTCTCGCTCTCTCTCTCTCTCTCTCTCTCTCTCTCTCTCTCTCTCTCTCTCTCTCTCTCTCTCTCTCTCTCTCTCTCTCTCTCTCTCTCTCATCTCTCCTCTCTCATTATCTCCTTGGATCTTTCTCGTACTTTTGTCTACGCGGTCGCGCAAATCGCCGTGCAAGTAGTTCGATATCCCCCCTCCCCTCTCTCTCTCTTCTCTCTCTCTCTCTCGCTCTCTCTCTTTCTCTGTTTGCCCCTCTGCCCTCCTTATCCCCCCCCCGCCCCCCCCCCCCCCCCCCCCCCTCGTTCAGTCCATCTCCCTCTGCTAATTCGCAGTCTTATCGCTTCTGGAGGGCATCCGACATCTTTAACTTGTGTGCGTTGATCGGCCCACTGCTTTCGCAGCGTCGGCATCGAGTCATTGGCGTCTATATGGGCACTCGCTCGTCACATGCGCCCGCCCTGGTTCTGGCGCCCAGCGTTTGGTTCAATCGCCTGGGATTCGCACGCAACTTCCAACTCGAAACCGATGGTGTAAGTACAGTTCCCCGATGGCCCACCCCTAGTTTGAAGTTGCACGACTGTTGTTTCAACGTGGCGCTGACGTTTGGCGGATCCCCAGATCGAGGCAACGCGCCGTCATGTTTATCCAACCCGGTGTGAGCGATGACGTCACCAACCTGCGTTTTTTTCTTGGGGCCCCAGCGAGTCTAGCTGACTCGGCTGTGCAATCTTTCTCATGCCTGGTGTGGCGTGCACGTGCGCGTGCACCGCGCTCGCGGGCGCGTGCGTCTGTTTGCTGCGTCATGCATGAATTCGCGTCTGCAGATTGGTCTCGCATTTGAAAGCGGGCTACATTTCATTTCGCTAACACTTTGTGCAGAGCGCGTCGGCACAGCGTTGGAGAATCGCTGGGGGTTCATTGGGGGCTGTTGGAAGGTGCGCGCGCAATATCACGCGTGAGTCTAGTCTACGACAATATGCGTGCGATTCACACACGTCGCGCGCCTGGCAAACCAACATACGGGTAATGTAGTAGCGGGGTAGGAGCAAGGGCGGGAAGGCAGCAATGGAACACGAACACGGTGACCGCTGTCGGAGATGAGGCGACATCGGCACGCGCGCGCGCACGCGCGCACATGCGCCGCATCCATGCACGACCGCGCCAATTACCAACGACTCCATGTTTGAATGCATGTTCTTTTTGAGGCGTGTGCAAGCATGCCCTGAGACATCTGGCATTGGCGGTGCGCAAGCAATCCGTCGGACGAAATACAGAGCTCGAAGAGGAGCGGGCGAGGGCGGACGCGCGAGGTCGGGCGAGGGGCGGGCGGGGGGGGGGGGTAGAAGGGGCATTGTACGTAACAGAAACATGAAGAACACTAATCAAACACAAAGTGGGATGGACAGGGGCGCGCCATCAGAAGGGCGTGGCAGACGCGACTGTTGCTTGCAAGTGTATGTCTCGACGGATGCGGAGGGGGTGCCTCCCCATTGGCCAGTGCCGACCCCCCTCTGCGCGCTCGCCCAACGCTGCGACCCCCGCCCACCCGACAGACCCCGATATGTTTAGGCGCCCACCCACATCCCCCATCCCAAAAGAAACGCCACGGTGAGTTAGCGAAGATAATCGCGCAGCGCGGAATGTATAATAAAACGAAGCGACGTTGGTCGCGAACCCATTGGCACCGCAGCCGATTTTGGCACGAACCCATTTACAATCCATATTGGCCTGAAGGGCCGATAGTTGTACCGTGCGCGTGACATTGCGCGCCGAGCATGCCGCAGAAGCTTAAGGATGAGTGCTGTTGGTGGAACCAGGCTGACCAGCGCGAGCTGGAGATGGAGCCGATGCACAGGCCAGAGTGGATAATTAGTACAGCAGGTGAACGGTTGATTCCAGAGTGGTACTATTGGCAGCCCGATGCATGGGCGTTCAAGTGCTTGTTGTGCAATGTGGAGGCGCCGAATGAGAGCCACGTGATTTCGAACAAACATCAGAATGGTCTGCGGTGGAAGCCGAATGAGATGTTCGCAGACCAGGCAAAACTGATTCCGAGGGTGATTCCAAATACTGAGTATGACTACGAGGACCCGTGGGACCTCAACCCAGCGAAGCAAGTTGGTGATCGTGGTGATGCTCCTGCTGGTGGTGTTGGGAGCAGGGGCCCGTGGGTGCATCGTGATGGAGATGGTGCGTTGGCGCTGGCGCATCCGCAGCCGCCGCCTGGGCCGGGTCGCGACGGTCACCGCATCGAGTTTGATGAGATCAAAATGGAGATAAGGAGTCTAAACACCGCGGTGGAAGGTCTTCATAATCTTGTGCTGGCACTGCCCGCTGCGGTTCGCGAGTTGAGCGGCCAGCCTCCAGCGACGCATGGTGCGCCGAAGGAATCCCCACAAGAGGAGTCCGATGATGGCGCTGAGTAAACGTTTGGCGTTTAAGGCCATTTTGGGCTCGGCCGAACCCACTATGCCATTGGCGCTAGCCTCGCGACGAGCTTCCGTGCGCGAGGAGCAGATTTCTTTACTTTAAGAGCCCTGCCGCGCTCGGCAGCCACCAGCCATCGCCATATGTGTTTTATGTGCTGGATACGCCCGAGCTCTCGAGCTACAGATATCTGCGGGGTCCAAGGCTCTGAGGAAGAAAACTCACAGACTCTGCCGAGTATAACCTAAGGGCGCCAACGAGGCCCCTAAACTCCGAGGCTCCAGAGGCTCCTAAACAGCTGGCCCTAATTAAGCCCCAGGGGCTCCAGAGGCTAAACGGCTAAACGGCTCCAGAGGCTCCAGAGGCTCCAGAGGCTCCAGAGGCTCCAGGGGCTCAGAGTCTCCAGAGGCTCCACCCCCTCCTCCTCCTCCTCCTCCTTCTCCTCCTCCTCCTCCTCCCCCTCCTTCTCCTCCTCCTCCTCCTCCTCCTGCCCCCCCCCCTCCCTCCTCCTCCTCCTCCCCCCCCCTCCTCGTCCTCCTCCTCCTCGACCTCCTCCTCCTCCTACTCCTCCTCCTCCTTCTCCCCTTTACTAGTTCTCCTCCTCCTCCTTCAGCATTTGCATTGTCTACTATAACACCGATGCTTGAAACACAAGCTGTGCGAATCATGATATACCTGACCCTTAACGCAAGCATTCTGGACCACAGGGCTGGGCGAAACACACGAGAGCGAAGAGAAGGAAGAGGTGGAGGAGGATGCAGAGGAGGAAAAGGAGGAAATAAGGATGAGAAGAAGGAATTGGCTGTCTGCGTTTGTTGGTGCCTCGTTGCTCGCGTGAAATCGCAATGCTACGCCGTGCAATGCCACGCAAACTTCGGAAACTCACGACACGCTGCCAATATTATGTCATTGTGTATCTGATGTGCCGAACTGTGTAAACAACAAGAGAGCCATTCGAAGCTATTTGCTGATTTACCTTGCATATGCTTATATGTGGCCAACTTAATATCATATGCTTATTTTAAGCTGTATAGATCCTCTGGGAAGGTACCCGCTGGATCGCGCTCTGGTCATGAGCGTCGTGTCCTGTGTCGCGCCCTCACCTTCGCGATGGAGTCCGACGGGCTCAACGCCGCGAGCCTGCCGTGTTGCGAGTTCCTGAGCCGCCGCCAGATGTCGCTCGAGACGGCTCATCGCGATGATCCTGAGAAGCCAGCGTTCGAGGGCTCGCACATCTACAAGGGCGAAGACGAGGAGGGCACGGGTGCGTCGGTGACGCCCGCCTTCCGGGCACACGTCGCATCCGAGTTGTCGAGGGGGCATGCGATCGAGAAGGAGAAGAGGAAGGCTCGGGAGGCCAAGGCGGTGGCGAAGTCGGCGGCCGCCCGGAAGAAGGGCCCGCCGCCGGCACCATGACCGCCTCGGCCCAGGGAGGGGGGGGGGGGATGGACGCGATTCCCTCTTGCGACCCCCCTCCCTTCGCAAAATCCAGCCAGACGCGCCGAGACCGCTGGCGCTGGGGAGACGCGCAACGCCGTGACGCCCCTCCGCCAGATCATGTTGGCCCGCGACCCTCAGGTGGACCTCGTGAACTTTTTCCATTGCCCTTCGTCGGCGCAGAGGGGTCTACGAGGGTGCGCGCCGGGGCGTCCAGGACGGCCCGACGCCGCAGCACTTGCCGCCGGCTGGCCCTAGACGATGCAAACGACATGGTGGCCGCGCTCAACGCCCTCTACGGCTGTGAGCGCGACGCGGTGGCGCCGGCGAGCCCAGCGCAGTCCTCGGTGCATCGACACCTGCTGCGCGCCGCCAGGGGGGCCCGGCAGAATTTTGACCATTGTCTACCCCATGAAGCTGCGGCTCAGCTTCTGGGACCTCGAACTGATTATGGAGGTGATGGTAGCGCAGTGCAACCTTATGACGCTGAGCGGCTATCTCTCCCACCCTCCGGGCGGGGCCCGGTGGACATCGCGAAGGTGTTGGACGTAGATGCTCGGAGGGTGTTCACCAACTTCGACAACTTCATCCTCGCGAGCCCGGACGTCGTGTCCGAGCGTAGGGAGCGCGCAGCCTCGCGCCCCTACTTCGACGTCACTTCACGGGCTGACAAGAAGGCCTATGTGGATTTTCTCCGGCGCCTGAAGGATCGACGTCTACTTGGAGTGGCGTCGGAGTCGCTCAGTCTCGTGACCCCCTTCTTCGTGGCCAAGAAGAAGGGGAAACAGAGGCTCGCGCTGGACTGGCGGCTCGCTAACACCCTCTTCGCCCACGCCACCACCGTCGAGATCGGGAGCTCCGAGGCGATGAGTGCTATCGAGTTGGAGCCCGGCCAGGAGTTGTAAGCCGCCTCGGCCGACGTCGAGGCGCGCTTCTACCAGTGCGGCGGCGTCGGGAAGCTGAGCAACTACTTCTGCCTGCCCTCGGTGTCCGTCGACGTGGCCCTCGAGCTCGGCCTGGCCGTGGACATCCGCGGTCAGGGCGTCGCCGGGCGCGAGTGGGTTCACCCTTGCCTCATTGTCCTTCCCATGGGATGAAGCTGGAGCTTTTGGCTGGTGCAGCGGGCCCACATGGAGATGCTGCGCCGTGCCGCGGTCCCAGGCGACAGGATCGCCCTCGGGGCCAAGCCGCTGCCGCCGTTGACTTCAGGTCCCGTGGAGTTGCCCTACTCGGACAAAATCAACGTGCTGGGTGTGAAGGCCGACGAAGTCACCGAGCTGAGAGACCGTGTCGTGGCCCGCTTCTCCGACGAGGGCTTCAGTATGCACGAGATCTCAGTCGCCAGCGTGCACTCAACCATCCTGGGCGCCGACGTGGGGCCAACCGCCCGTCGCCAGGCGCGCGGGGCACAAGCTGTGGGTGCTCCGAGGCGCGCTGCAGTGGCTAGCGAGCGGCCCCATTGTCACTGGCCGGCAGGTTGAAGTGGTGGTCGGTCACTGCGTCGCCGCAGCCCTCTTCAACCGAGCAGGGATGTCTGTCCCTCGCGCTTTATACGGCTTCATCCGCGATCGTTACTTGAGGCCTTGTCGACTCTGGCGCTCTTGCCGTTGCGAGACGTGGATTTTTTCAGCCGTCGCGGCGCTGCTGGGGGCCCAGTTAGACAGGCCATTGTCGCCGACCGTGACGGCCACCGATGCTTCTACGACGGGCTTCGGAGTGTGCGAAAAGAAATTGGATTCCTCAGAAGTCTCAGAGCTTGGAAAGTGGCATGAGAAGTGGAGGTTCAAACGTCTCCAGCCCGAAGAATGGGCCCCCCGAAGGAGAGCTCTCGACGATTTCCCTGGGATCACCGATCCTGCTACCGTCCTCGCCAACAATGTCATCGACGGGTGGGCTGAAGTCGCGGGGTTCCCAGAGGCCCCTCGTCATGTACTACATAAAGAGGGATGGAGGGTTATCTACAAGGGGCCGTATCGCTATGTCGAGCACATCGGGCTGAAGGAGGTGAGGGCCATGATATGGGCTCTTCGTCGTCTCGCCAAGGACCCATCCCAACATCATCATCGTCATTTATTCCTGCTCGACAATTTCGGCGTCTGCTGCTGCTCCGATAGGGGCCGACCGCCGTCATATTGCATGTTACAGTTGAACCGTCGCCTTGCGGCTCTATCCCTGGCCGCCAACATAAGCCCGCACTTCCGGTGGATCCCGTCGGAATGGCAGCCAGCCGACAAGGCCTCAAGGACGTTCGAGGGCCTCTCGCCGGTGCACGCCGGGCCCGCTGAGCGTGGCTGGGCGCGACGCCTTCGCGGAGGAGCCGCAGAGCAGCCCTGCCCGTTCGCCCAGGCCGACCTCGGTGCCAAGGCCCAAGAGGCGCCGCCTGGGGACCGCCGCAGTGGCCGAGGGGCTGGTGCGCACGCCGGGCGGCCTGGGGGGCAGGCGGGCCCCAGTCAAGAGGCCAGCGGCCCGGCGCAAGCCCACCGCCGGCGCCGCCCCCCGCGCGGCGCGGGCGCGGCCAGCGGCGCGCGCCCCGGAGTCGCCGCCCCAGCTGCACGCCCGGCTGGCCAAGGCTTTGGAGCCCAACCGGAGCAGCCCCGCCTCGGCCATGGCGCTCTCCAAGTGCGAGCTGGCCGCGGCGGTCGACGCGACGCGCGCCGGCCACAGGGCGTACTCCGATGCGTTTCAGGTGCTCCTCGCCGAGGAGGGAGGATTGCCTTCGACCACCGAGGACATGGAGGTGCGGGTGCTGCAGTTCCGCGACCTCAGGCTGGAGGCGGAGTGCGCCCGAGCCGACGCGACCATCCTGGTCGCAGCTGTGAGGGGCGCCTGCCCGTGGTGCACTGGCTCGCAGTCGATGCCGCGCGTGAACAGAGGGCTGCGAGGCTGCGCCAAGCGCAGGCCCCCTGCCTCCCGGGCCCCCGTGCCTCGGGAACTTCTCGGAGCTGCCGTGTCCGAGATGCTGGCGAGGGGGGCAGAGGGGCTGTGCGCTCCAGGTGGCGTCGACCGTCCTCACCTACATCCGCCCAGGAGCCCTTCGGAAAATACAAGTACGGCAGCTGTTGGCCCCCTCGAGGGCCTCTGGGCAGCTGCAGTGCTGGAGCCTGATCCTCGCGCCGGCCCAGATGGAGGCAGGCGCCCCAGGCGATCCGAGGGGCTCCCAACGAGAGCCCACCAAGACGGGCACCTCGGACGAGACCGTGATCCTCGACCACCCGGCCGGGCTCGGCGAGCGCCTGGCGGCCAGTGTTCGTGGGGGGGCGCCGGCCGACCTGATCTTTCCCACTCCAGGCGCATTCGTGGCGCCCCAGTTCGGAATCGCAGCCGCGAAGTGCGGCCTCCCCCGGGTCTGTCTCTACCAGTTGCGTCGCGGGGGAGCGTCGGGCGACGTCCGGTTGAGCAGGCGGGGTCAGATAACTGCAAGGGCTCGGGGCCACTAGAGGACGGACTCGCCCCTGAACAGGCGCGGGGAGCCCGGTGCAGTGCGCCAACTTCTCAATGCCTTGCATCCAGCCTCCAGGGACTTCGGCAGGCAAAAGTTCGTGCTGAGGGGGTCGCTGTCCCAACGGACCGCCACGCCAGAGGCGATCCCCCAGTGAGTGGAGCCAGGCCCTTCTCGGCTTGGGGCGGCTGGGGTCCGCGAGGCGGTCTCGTCCTCGCTCCTACTGCCCCTCGACCAGGCTGGATTGTGGCAGAGCTGATGGCTGGCAGTCGCGGCATCAGTGCTGCCTGCAAGAGCGTCGGTTTTTTCCCCACATCCTAAGTGGGGTTCTTGTTTTCTCTGCACACCCTCCGCGCAGGATCTCTCGTCCTCCTCCCTCTCCTCTGCTTCTCTTTGCTTCCTCCTCTGCATCATCATCACCATCGCCATCACTCCCCACTCATCATCGTCATCACCATCAGCATCACCATCACCATCGCACGATCACTCACCATCATCGGCATCGAACGATCATCATCATCATCATCATCATCACTACTCGCTGACTCACCACTTCGCCCCCATCATCATCACCACCATTTACCATCATAATCGCACGACCACTCACCATCAGCACTCATCATCACCACCATCATCATCACGTCGTCATCATCACCACCACCACCACCATCATCATCATCAATCATATATCATCATCAAACACCGTCGTCATCATCCCATCACCATCATCCACCAAGAGGGAGCCTCGTCTGTGAGTGAATTGTGAGGACGCGTCAGGCGGGAGCCCCCTCCCTATGGGGCCCGCAGATCACGTTACTAATCCGAGCGGGTCATCGGACTCTTGTAACTCTCGTCATTTTTGGGCTCCTCAGGTTTGAATTTGGAGGAAGTATCAAGCGGGAGCCTCGTCTGTGAGTGAATTGCGAGGGAGTCTCAGGCGGGGGCCCCCTCCCTATGGGGCCCGCAGATCATGTTACTGATCCGAGCGGGTCATCGGATTCCTGTAACTGTCGTCACTTTTGGGCTCCTCAGGTCTGAATTTGGAAGAAGTGTCAAGCGGGAGCCTCGTCTGTGAGTGAACTGTGAGGACGCGTCAGGCGGGAGCCCCCTCCCTATGGGGCCCGCAGATCATGTTACTAATCCGAGCGGGTCTTCGGATTCCTGTAACTGTCGTCACTTTTGGGCTCCTCAGGTCTGAACTTCGAGGAAGTATCAAGCGGGAGCCTCGTCTGTGTGTGTGAATTGTGAGGAAGTCTCAAGCGGGGCCCCCCTCCCTATGGGGCCCGCAGATCATGTTATTCATCCGAGCGGGTCATCGGATTCCTGTAACTGTCGTCATTCTTGGGCTCTTCAGGTCTGAATTTGGAGGAAGTATCAAGCGGGAGCCTCGTCTGTGAGTGAATTGTGAGGAAGTCTCAGGCGGGGCCCCCCTCCCTATTGAGGATGTTTCAATCGAAAGCCATCCAGGCGGGAGACGGAATGCCCGGCAGGGCTCGCTTGGGCGGTCCGCTCTTGCCGGCAAGGCGAGAGCGGCTCAAGGGCCCTAAACGGCGGCGGTCAAGAGAAGTGCAAGGCAGCACGAGAAGGCAGGGACAAGGAGAGACGGGGCGAGAAGAGAATGATGGCCAAGACGACTAGAAAGGGATGAAGTCGCCTCGCAACCTCAACTTCTTTTTTTTTAAAGATGCCAAAGGGAGGCTCAGAGGTCTGTCAGTAGTCGTCGTCGTCGTCCTCTTTGCTTTCTTTTTCTCGGCGCGCTTTGCGGCTTTCTCTGCTTTCCGGGCTGCGCTTGGAGGAGGCCTCTTTGTGTTCCTGTCGGTGGACAGCCTCAGCTCGGGCGCCCGGTCTGCTTTCGTGAAGACGTGGTTCCTGTCGTTGGTGGCCTTGTCGTCTCCATCGCACGACGACGTCCCAGCAGACTCTGACGAATCAGAAGAACTATCGTTGCTGCTGCGGGACCTCCCTCGTGGAGTGACAGGACGTGGCGCCTGAAACGTAATCCGGAACGCTAGCAGCACTCTGCTCCCGGCCAGCATGCCTACCACGACGCTGTTCCCAGTTGGCCCTGTCAAGTTTCGCCCTCTGTCTGTCCCGGAGCTTCCTGGCAGACATGTGGTGGCCCATCTGCTGGACATCTCGGCGGTGCAGATGATCGTGGTATTTCTCTGGCTTGCCACAGGCATCGTCATCTGCATCCTTGATGCGCTTATCCATGCAGATTGCTTTCTGCGTTGCCTGCAGCTCTCTGTGTGCTAGGTCTACGGCCCGTTCAAGCTGTCGCTCGCGAGAGGTATCCTGCTTGTTCTGCAGCTTCTGCATGGCCCTGCGCTCGGTAGACATCATGCTCAGAGCACTGCATTGGAGCTGCCGCTCTACGCCGCTGACGCGACGTGCTGGCGGAAGCGCCGCAAGCTGCTCTTCTGCTGTGAGCCCTGCTGGAGGAGCCGGCGGGGCAGCCTTCGAATAAGTACTTGGAAGAGGAGGTCGAGCCTTGCTCGTGCAACCGGGCGCTGCCGGCACCCGGGCGCCGATCGCAGTTGCAACCATGGCGCAAACGTCCGCCGTTCCCTCAGCCGGGAAACCCAGGCGCGAAGGTCTGGCAGACGTCGTCGCGCTGGCACTCGTTGGTGGTGCTGTGGCTGGTTTGCAGGACGAGGTGAACGTAAGGTACCAGAACGGATAGGTGCTAAAATCTTCTCTGGTTTGGACTTGTCCTTGGTAAGAGGATCTGCGACCATTTCTGAATCTGGCACCCAGAGCAGCTCCAAAGGAAGTGCTTTGTCACAGTGTTTTGGAATCCATGAAACGGCAGCTCCACGAACTCTCTGAAACGCTGGAGTAAGATCTTCTTCCGAAAGGCGTGGCGTAGCAGAGTAGATGTTGGTTACGAAAGACCAACTGTCGGTCAGCAGAACACCAAACGGAGGCTCCGGCATGTTCAATGCCTCTTGAATCCGGCGTCTCGTGGCAAAATTGACATCCAAGGCGGCTTCTGCCGAGAGGGCCTCGGCTGCCAAGGTGGAGATGCATGCTCGGACTTGTTTCTTTGACGCCCACCTGTACGTCGAGGCGCGAACTACTTTACCCCTCCCCATCTTTTCTCCTATGAATGTGGCCATGCCGCGCTGCGGCGGAGAGCTCTTAGAAGAATCACCGAAAGAATAAACGCAGATGTCTTTGGCCATGGGGCCGTATGTGAGGACAACCGGAACGTTCTTGAGGCGACGGGCGTTCTTGTTGCAGTCGAGAAGCGTGCTCACTGTTGCTGATTGCACTTTGGACGCGACAGAACTCACGTGGAAAGATCCGGTCGGAACTGTCTGGTCCGAAACCCAGATCTGCTCACCGAGGCACTGTCGTAGGGAGGCGCGCTCTGCTTCTGTGACTGGAGAGGTCAGTTGTCGCAGACGGTGTGGAGGCACAGATATGATTGACAGAGATTTACAATATTCTGTTTGATCAAGAGTGATGTACGGCATATATACTTTAATACGTAAACCGCAAAAGACGAAGTTACCGTGCTCACGAGTGCCCCACTGCAGTGGCAAACTTTCAATGACATGCCAGAAAGCGTCAGTTCCAGCCATAAGAGCGTCATCTACGTGAAGACCGACAAAACCCTGAGATTGCTGGCTTGCGAAACGAAGAAACACGAATGGATCCCAAATCGATTGCACGAAGCCGCGTTCTAGAAGAAGAGATCTCATGTGAAAGAACCATGCTCTGGGTGCACGGCGCAAGCCATGCAAAGTCTTTCCTCGCTTCAGTCGCCACGCGCGCCCTTCTGGCAGGTCCACGCCAGCAGGCGGACGAACGAACGCAGGCGAGTCATCCCAGTTAGGATTTGCAGAAGCGTCTGCCTGCAGAAACGCCTTCTTCACGTCCCATGCTTCTGGTTCATACTGCATGTAACCAGGTAACCAAAGAAGAAAACGAACCGAGTGACGATGCAACGTTGGGCTCTCTACCACGTGGCTGTCCTTTCCGGGCTCGAAACAGCCCTGAACTACGAGGCGGGCTTTTGGTTCGCCGTCAGGGGCCGTGCAGGCGAAGCGGGGTGGCACAGCAGACGCGCCATCTGGAAGCTGAACAACATCAAAGTTATCCGAAACAGCATGTAATTCACAAAGCCGGGGGGCTTCGAAGACGGGACCTGCTTCTGCAATTTTGCGTGGAACTTCTTTCGCCCGCTTCAGTGCTTTCACAGCTGCCAGAGCATCAAGAACAGATTCCCCTGGAACGTGAGCGTCTTCTGGACAGCTTTTGCAAACATCCGCAACCTCAGCCATCATGCTCCATTGTGTCGGTACTTCGAAAAAACGATTCGTCAGAATGGTTGTTGGCTGCTGCAAAGAAGTCTCAAGTTCTGATGATGCTTCGTGTGGCAGAGTTGGTGATTTGTGTGCAGGCTCCTCTTCTGCTACTCCGTGCTCCCCCCGTCGCTTCGTCGGTCCAGAAGGAAACGGTTGTTTCCCAGAGAGCCGGTGGGTCGGTTTGACCGCGCCAGAAGAGGAACTTCCACTTCCAGGTTGCTGTGGTGGCTGGGAAGGTGGAGGCAGGACAGGCGTTGCTGGTCCGTTTCCCACGGCCGGGAAGCCCAGGCTCGCAGGTCCAGGAAAACCAGCCGGAGCAGGTGCAGCAGGAGGTGGTTGTGGCAAGGCTGGTGGTGGTGCCGCTGGCGGTGGTGCCGCTGGAGGCGGCGGTGGCGACGAGGCCGCGCCATCGAAAGACTGGTCGTGTCTGTTCCGAGCCATTTCCTGCACAGGCGCTTGGATATGGAGTTCGAGGACCCCTCTGCGTTCACGAGGGCGGACCCTGTGCCTGTGCACAGAAATAGCGTGACCATCTTGCGTCCGAATCCATACTTTTTTGTTGGCCTTCCATGCCTAGCACCGTTGCTGGGCCTTTTTCCAAGCTTTTCCGGCTGTTTTGTCTTTGGAGCTTTCGTTGGAAATCCAATCTACGATGGTACCGGCAGTCAGAGGGCCAAGTGTACCCGCCAATCGTGAATTGAATAAGTCCCGCAATTCAGAGCACGACTGGATCTGGATAGCTACTTGCTGCGCGGCTCGCCGGAGGGACAGCCTGGCCTGAGCGCTGCTCGCGGGGTCCGCAGGGGGATCCCGGAGCATAGGCGGGTCTGCCTCGTCGATGGTG